ATCAACACTGCATCTTTACTAGTTTGAATACAATTCTTCGACAGTGGCGCTTTACGCATTTACGCATTATAGATCCAACGCGTAAAAGCTCCTATGACTTCTTATTAAAGTTGCCGAGTGTTAACTTTTGGGTTATGATGAGCCGCTTTCGCGAATAAATATAATGTAATGTCAAGGAGATCGTCGGGATATGCTGCAGTTCGCAGAATGGGAAATAAAGGTAGAGTACTGAGGGAGTAATGCATGGTAAAACCTATGCGTCATACAAATCAGGCTCTGTATATCACGCCAACAGAGAACGGGGGGGATATATTTACCCGAGAAGGCGCTATTCCATAGAATGAGGCTGTCAGTTGGCGCAGATGTGGCAGGCTGGATCACCTCTAAACTTTGTAGGATTGTCTTCTGTTCTTCTTTTTAAAAAATGAAGCAGGCCCCGGTTTCCCCCCCCCCTCGACTCGTCCGCTGGCTCACTCTATCACTTTTAGTCCTGTCTCCGCTGCTCGTCCCCCCATCTCTCTATCCCACTCTCTCTTTCTCTGCCCGCTCCTGTCCCTTTGCAGGAAGTAAACTGCGGCTCTCACACGAGCAGCGCGCGGACCGAGCGCAGGCTGACATCATGCAGCAGTCCATATAGAGTTCTGCTTAAAGACACAGACATGTTCAAACACATTACTGGAGACGACCTGTCCAACAGTCGCTAAATGAACTGTCACACCATGCACCTTTTCCTTTTCTTTTACACGATTACACGAACTCGGTGCACTCAGTGGGCTTAAAGGTGTAGCCTACTTTTCCCTGCTGTTTATTAGTGGAACAGCTGTAAAACAAGTGTAAGTTGGCTCACACTGTTTTTCTAGCGAGTCTTCTTAGCACACAAATGTCGTTGGTAAGACATAGGAGCATGATGAGGGATCCTGAATTACATTTACATGTGTGGGGATCTCACGTGTCTGTATGAAGACAGCCCAGGATACATAACGCGCATGTGTTGTTCTCCTAAATTACAGGCGCCAACTGCTGGTGGAGTGACCTCAAGTCAACCTTATTTTACATCTATCTATCTATCTATCTATCTATCTATCTATCTATCTATCTATCTATCTATCTATCTATCTATCTATCTATCTATCTATCTATCTATCTATCTATCTATCTATCTATCTATCTATCTATCTATCTATCTATCTATCTATCTATCTATCTATCTATCTATCTATCTATCTATCTATCTATCTATCTATCTATCTATCTATCTATCTATCTATCCACGACATAAAGTATTTTACATATGTATGTATGTATGTATGTATGTACGTACATATGTATGTGTGTCTCTCTATGAAGACAGCCCAGGATACATACAAACATGTGTTGTTACAGGTGCCAATCTATCTGTCTATCTATCTATCTATCTATCTATCTATCTATCTATCTATCTATCTATCTATCTATCTATCTATCTATCTATCTATCTATCTATCTATCTATCTATCTATCTATCTATCTATCTATCTATCTATCTATCTATCCACGACATAAAGTATTTTACATATGTATGTATGTATGTATGTATGTACGTACATATGTATGTGTGTCTCTCTATGAAGACAGCCCAGGATACATACAAACATGTGTTGTTACAGGTGCCAATCTATCTGTCTGTCTGTCTGTAAATCCAGCACATAAAGTATTTTACATAATGTATGTATGTTTGTACGTATGTATGATTCCAGATTCCAGAACAGTTTCTTCCCCGATGCCATTAGACTGCTGAATGTTGTATAAAATGGGGTTATTAAAAAAAAGAGTGCAACTCAGTCGTATGTTTACATTTAACACTGCTGCTCACCTTTTATCACTGCTGCACTTTCAAAAATAAAAATGTCTTGATAGCTGTACTGAAGGAAATTTATTTTTGTAATGAGTGTATGTATGTATGTATGTATGTATGTATGTATGTATGTATGTATGTATGTATGTATGTATGTATGTATGTATGTATGTATGTATGTATGTATGTATGTATGTATGTATGTATGTATGTATGTATGTATGTATGTATGTATGAATAAATTATTTTCACTCAAACAGTTTGCTTCAACTATGAGTTACTGGAACATTGAATTTTCCCTATGGAATTAATAAATTGCTCTTGAATTTGAGTTGAATCTGCATTGAAATATGTGAATGTATGGAGTTCAAATTGAAATAAATAAATAGATAAAATTGCATGATAAAAGTGATTTTTACCTCCTTAATAACAAACTTTGGTAAACTATTTTTTTTGGCATCACATATGTCAATCAGTTTTCATCATTGCAATTTCTTTTTTCACTTTGGTACACACGTGTTTAAAAAAAACATGTTAATGAGTTAGGTTGATTTAAAGTTTAAAGGCCTTGGTCGTTATTGACCAAGTTAAAATAATGTGCATCTATCTCAAACGTCTTTAAAGCAACAGCTCACAAAGTAGAACTATGATCATGTCATTTTACAACTACAACACAGTTGAGTATGAGAATTATGGCTTTACCCTTAGCTGTTGCAATCAGAGGATCTCACGATACATAAGAGATATTTAACTTATGCTGCAGAATTGTCTTTATCTTTGCCTCTCCTTCACCTCTACACTAATAAACAGATAGGAAAAGTAACAGTAGGTTAAGCCTAAGTATTATGAACAAAAATGTTTATTATTGGGTTAACATAAGACTGCTTAGGCTATTTAAACATACAAAGGGATCTTTTATCTTTACCCAAATGGAGCTATAAATGACTAAATGTACTTTTTTTGGTTTTCAAATTTTATAGGAACAATCACTAAATATTTTTACAATTTAAACACATGTATGATGCTGTAAAAATATCCCATGATCTTCGCATGGAAAAAAAGTTCTGATCATGTGTGGTGCACATGTGGTAAACTTGTGATCACATGTGGAACAGGTGACCCACATGTGGGAAATGGGAACCGCATGTGAAAACTTATAACCACATGTGAATTTCATGGAGTTTTACTGTAGTTTTCTTAAAGGTTTTCAAAGTCTTCTCAACTACAGTTTTCTGTCAGTGCAGCCTTATCTAACAGTAGATTATAAAACTTAACTGGCTTGCTATTTAACTTGTAAATAATGTGACAGAGAGAACTATGGCTGTATATTGTCATATTTCTGTTTCTAGTGACTATAAGAAATATAAAAAAACACTGAAAAATATCAGAAATATATGTAAAACAGATATTGCTTTATCAAACATTTTTTTCCTACCCCTGCTTACAGTCTTTAACAGGAGATTTAATTAATATTAACTGCTCGGGTGAATACGTTTATTAAACATAGTTAGAAATAGCACCCTTTCTTCCAGTTAGACTATAATTAGGTATTTATAACTCTGTAAAAGCTTCCTGCAAAAAAGCATAACATATATTTATCAAATAGTTTCCACACAAATCAAATGTCTATTTTACTCTTAAGATAAAAAAAAAAGTGAAGATTTTTCCTAGTTTCCTACTTGGTTTCCATAATGACCGAAAGTGAAAGTTTGAGCAAAGGTGAGAAACCTTGCAATTTGTTTTGTTTTATTTATTTGTGTTTCTTTTTTATCTGAAGACACCTGGAACAGAAGCAAGATCTTATCAAGACAATTACCCATAATGCTTAGTGAATACTTCAGATCCCCAAATATCCCATCCTAGTGTTTTCCTCTGAGCAAATTAGACATTATAACAGGCTTTTCATAATATTTTTTTGTATAGATGAATACATCTCAAAAAGTTGTGCCCTGTTCACGAGGATCCCTTTAAATAATCAAATAAATATATATTTTTTGGATAAACCCTACTTTCATATAGACAAGTTCTGAAAGCCTTAAAGATCCTTTATGCATCACCATCAACAGATTCTAACTTTGATTCGAAAAAGATTTTTAAGAGAGCTCAGAAAACTCCCTCTAACCCATGTCTCCTCATTGTTCTTTATCTGGACCTGGATTTCATACTCATGCTTTTTGAATTTTCCTTGTAAAAATGGATGCCAGTGAAATAATACTTAGTGATAGACTTTATATGTGCTGGAGAGGTTATAGATTTGATTTCTTTACACACATAACATAAAACATTCGTTTTTTTTTATCCTCAGTGCTTCTCAGCAAACTTAGTTTTAAAAAGCTAAACCAGAATTCTGATGAAATATTTGGTAAACAGGGTGAGAAGTTCACCAGTTTACGAGGGGAGAATGCAAATGTTGATCAGTGAGATCTGGTTAGTCATCCCCACTAAGGCAAAAATGTCCGAAGTTTTGAACAAAAAAAAAAAGAAGTTAAAAAGGTCAATGACTTGTCAAAAGAACTTAAAAGCGCACTGTTGCTGTTATAAGACAATCCAACTTCTTTGTGGCGTAAGAGGGTAGTTGGATTGACCCAGACTCAGAATATGAGGCATATGATGTGTTTATCCTGAGCACAAAAGCTTATTGTTACCCTGATTATTCATTTACAGCCCAAGGCTAAACGGGTCTCAAGCATGTCTCAGTCAGCCCACCAGCTAGAGTTAAAAGTTCAAAGCTAAAGTTGGCATTTAAACAATTTCCTACCTATTTTGTCCCAGCTTGATTAACTAATTAGAAGCATTATCTTCATTAAATAAAATGTTAAATGTATTAAAATTAAAACACCTTTTTTAGTTTGGTCAGCTGCCTCAACAGTTCCTACTAGCTTCCTTCATTCCAAGTGTAAATGAGGCTATATAAGGCTGTTGGGAGCCAGCCATATCCTTTGTTATGGTTGGCAGAAACAGAGGTGCCCAGTTGTGGTTGGTGTTTGTGTGCTAGAGGAAGCTAAACAGAGAAGTCTGTCAGAGCGACTCTTAGACCATGTGAAGAGCGACTGATGGAACACTTGACCCAGAGGCGTTTTCATGAACTGTAACACACTCTTATGAAACGGTTTGAGGCGTAATGTCATGGGTGCAGGACTGCATTGTAAACACATCCACTTAGCTATGTAATTTAAATTAGTTTAATAGACCGATTATTTGTTAAAGATATTTAAAAACATCTCAAATCCATTCTTTAAGCCAAACTCTTGCAGCAAAAAACACACATTGGTATTCACATTCATTTCCATACCTAAACATAACTGCATGTTTACTTTAACTTGAAATTAAAATGTTTATTTACAATATGACGTTTCCACATGGCATAAAATAAGGAATCTTATTTGTGTTTGGCTTCTAGAGCAACCCTTGAGTTATGTTGAAATAAAAGGCAAACTAAAATAATACAGTCATTTGTCAACATTTCATGCGACTGTGACATTCACATTTCCTTTTACAGTAATCTATAGATATATAAAACAAACACCCATTTTGTGGAAAGGGGTTAGATGTATGAATTACCAGATTTTGGTCCCTTTTTAAATAATTCCAAGTGCATTGTTTTCAGTATTGGTTTGATATGTTTTCAAATTACTGTACACAAGTATCTTTGTGCCATAAACAACCTAACTTAACATGTACACTGGAACAGATAGGAGTGCTCGGTATATTAGTGGCTGCAGGCAGCAGTTAGAGTAATAGTATGGAGAACCGAAAAGGGTGCATTTTGAAGATTTATTCAGAACAGGCCTTTATAGATTGCATTTTAGCAATCTTAACCAGCAGTTGTGATCGGATTCCAAATTTAATAAAGCATATTTATGCTCCAATTATTAAACAATATTAAATATGCACATCAAATCTCAAAAAGGATGCCTAAATGCCAAGATATAGGCTTTTAAGTTTATGTATTTATTGAGCCAATTTAATTGCCTTAAAAAATACAAATGGAAATTAAACAAACACTCAGTATTATAGGCCTCCTCCAGCTTGTCTGACAGGCAGTGTTTTATGCACCCTTTCCCATTTTATGCTATTGCAGTTTTTTACTGCACCTTTACAGGTTACTATAGGTTTCTTGACACTTCTAAATACTGTATTATCAACCGGGAGGTCTGGTTGGGGTTGACAAGATTTCATAATCTCTCATAGTTCTGATATTAGCTGAAGAAAGTCAAATGAATTAAGATGGAATATGATTTTGACAGAAAGTATATACCACATAAAATTTGGTAGACAATGCTCAGCTACACCGAAAATCAATGGTCTGTTTAAAGGAAATAAAGCAGTGGTATGAAGGGATGGAACAGAAAGAGGTGTAAATTGGCACTGTGATTAGGAATGAGTGGAGGCTAGTGAAATACTAAGGATGTGCAAGACAAATCCAGTTATAAAACAAAACAAAAACTAACTTCTTGTTAAAATTATCTCAAATTTCAGAAGTTAAGCAGCAGTTAAATCTCAGAGAATGCTACAGTGCCATTGGGACTTTTTAGCACCACATACTGCTCCAAGTTACAGTGTGATGTCTTCTCAATATGCCCTTCTGTTTTCATCAGTTCTTTTACATGTCCACAAACACCATAAAGCACCAGCCGAGTCCCCCGACCAGAAACATGGTGATGTGCATGCTGTAAATGATCAGATCATTGAGCACACCAAAGTCCAGGCGCCGGTGCCCAAGCAGAAGCAGGATAACAGAGAGCTTGTACTGCAGCCGGAGGAGGACGCGCACACTGACGTACTGCAGGAAGAAGAGTGCAGAGAGCAGCACCCAAAGCAGGGAGGTCAGCAGGCTGCAGCCAAAGTAGAGGAGGAAGCGCAGGAAGCTGTACATCCAGCGGGAGCGCAGGTAGAGATCAAAGTTGTTGTATTTGGTGCGCACCAGCTTGGTGGTGTGCGCTGAACCGCAGGCAGAGTGCATGCAGGTGGTGTGGGGGCCATGGAAACTGCGCACCCGCCGTGGGATGGGGATCACAGGCATGGAGGGGCTACGGGAGCCCGGGACGCTATGCAGGAGTCACAGGAGGGGAGATGCCGACTAAGGGAGCTGCTTCCAACCCTCAGTCCGACAGAAACAGGCCAGCCTTATGAAAACCATCGGGATTTCAAATTTCCTTTCTGATATGTCGAAAAAAAAGTCTGCAAAAAGCACAAATCATCACCATGTTATCATTTGTGAAAACAACTTCTTACAATTTTACACAAAATATAGACGTATGCAAATAATGCATGCATATACGTGCAAAAAACAGCCAATAATAACATTGATTTAAATAAAGCAAAGCAGACATAGTAGAAAAGATGCAGGAGTGCATGCAGGCTCATACATGAAACAGAACGTCTTCTTCCACGGGAAGGCTGCTGTTTTCGCGGTCGTCCTGGGGGCTGAATCACATTTTGAAAAGTTAAGAGAAACGCCTTAAAAAAATAAATTAAATCAATGTAATTTCTGCTGTGGTTTATGTTTCTTTTTGCGGCTATAGCCTTAGCCAGCGCAGGTTTGAGCCGGTCCTGTCGCAAAATAAACGAGTCATCGTGCTGTGACGTCAGCTTCTATTAAAGGGACAGCGCTAGAATTAAAAAATAAAAATATAAAAAAATAAAATCTTTAATTTGTCTAAAATGTATGTATTAGAATGTAATATTTGTTAAGAAAACACAAAGCTGACCTTTTACAAATTAGAGTTATAGACAGCGACAAAAAGGGGCACCTAACTGGTTACTATGGTGATCACCAACTAAGATTAACATAATAATTTATAGAATAATTGACACCCATCTAGCAAAAATAACTAAGTAAATAAAACAAAGAATAAAACATTTTTTTTATTAACCTCACAATAATATAGCTATAAATAGAATATCTATTACACGTACAAATAAATGTTATCAACTGATTGTGTGCTGGCTGCTACTTATTAAATGCTGCTTTGAGCTTTTCGTGCTGTGCTACAAAAGGGTTTAAAAGTTTTTGTTTTTGTCCAAGTCAGAAACGGGATCATGTGAATGTGTTATGCCAGGAAACAGTGTAATAAACTTAATCTAATAAATGTATATATATATATATATATATATATATATATATATATATATATATATATATATATATATATATATATATATATATATATATATATATATATATATATATATATATATATATATATATATATATATATATATATATATATATATATATATATATATATATATTTTGATGTTTTGTTTGATGTTTGTTTTAGATCATTGTCCGACAGTAAAAACTCTTGATTAGGGAAGTAAAAAAAAAATAGGAATCATCCCGCTACTGTATTAGTTAATTCAGTCTGTAACAACCCCAAAGCAGGATTCTTTACCCTCTGAATCGTTTTTAAGTTTAAAAGCACTGTCTTAACTCCCTCAAGCATCATTTTGTTTCACAGAGGCCACAGAGCTCAATATTTATCTAGTCTGAATAAAACATGTTTCCCTGGAAGGGGGAAACTTACTGGAACCTGCAAATCTCATTGAGGGTTAAAGGAGTTTATTTTGGAGTGGGCACTTCTTTTGATTCATCCTCTCAGTGTACTGCGATGCAGAACTAGCAGTTTCCAGTTCATGAGAGGTTTATGCTATGGGGATTTCTGGACTATCCCTTAATTTTCTTACTGATTTCCTTACATCTAAAAATGTAAATGGAATGAGGGGCTTGGGGAGTGAAATGATTAATAAGCTGGCTAGCTCAAGTGGTAGGTTACCCATTCTGCAATCAGGAGGCCTGGGTTCATATCCCAGCTGGGGGGGATGAGCTGCCAGTCCTTAGGCACGCTAATGCCTGCTTTGGGTAGTAATGGCATAGTTGTTGGTTAGGGTTAGAACTCAGCTCCCAAGACGACCATAAACAGCAGCCTTCCCATGGATGAAGACGTGCTGCTTCATGTATGACCCTGCATGCATTCCTGCATTGTGCTTAGTTAGGGCATTGCAACTGGAATCCAGAGGTTCTGATTGGAATCCAGAGGTTCAGAGTGGCACTGCCACTCTGGGTCCCTGAGCAAAGACCCTGAAACCCCACACTGCTCCCCGGGCGCCACACAATGTCAGCCCACTGCTCCCCAAGGGGATGAGTTAAATAATGCAGAGAGTTCATTTCTTTGCTTTGTTATTCTTGCCTTTTTAAAAGTCAATTTAACATGTGTGCTGTGTGATCATTTTAAACTGAAAACAGGAGTTCTAACAGATCAATAAATACCCCAAAATGTCATTCATAATTTTATGTAAACTGATTCTCACTGCACATGGATTCTCCTTGTGATGTGAAATAAGCATATATTCGTTTTTTGTCAAGATTTAGAGGTTAAAACATTGTAAATAGTAAAGGTCATGTCTATTTAATTACGTACATCTTTGGACTACGCCCGTTGTAGAAAACAGAATATTCAAAGATGGATTTAAATTTCTTAAATGGTTAATGTATTAGTGTTTAACTACGTTACATTAGGTAGTGCCTCTTCTTTTTTAACCTGCATCAGCTGAAATAAAAAGGGGTTGCAAAATAAATCACACTCCAATGCAGTAAAAGGATTCATTGCAGTAGTTCATTGATTTAACTGAACCAGTAAAATGGAGTCCTGTGACCATGCCTGAAGCGGGTTTCGAAGAAAAGACATTGCAAAGGGCATGTGTGAATCACTACTTATGCATCTGTAAACCAACACAAGGTTGCAGAATGTGTGGACTTGTGCATGTCCTCATACTGTGAGTGTGCTTCTCCCTGTATATCATATAACCTCCACTAGTCCGATTTATGAGCTAGAAGAAGGATTACATCTCCACTGGCTGTCAGCAAGCCAGATGGCAGCAGGTGACCATAAGTCAAAGTAAATGCACACACTAAAAAAAAAAAAAAAAAAAAAAGTTTATTACGGTTGTTAATAGTGTGCTGGGTCACATTGGCAAGAATTTAAAGGTGTATTATGCAAAATTAGAAAAACAAACCTCAGAATGTTTAATCAAACACACATAAAGGTGTCACTGAGGCTTGATACATTAATCCATGTTTGCTTCATTAATGGAATTTGCTCCATGATAATTTGAGCCAAGTCAGCTCCGATCATTTAACCTGAATGGCTGTTTTCATCAAGATTGAGTATTTCAGTAAATTTTTTCTTAAAGACTCTTGTCTGAGAGTTGCAATTCGCAACTGGCCTGTCCTGAAACAAACATATGTACATTTCAGATATGTTTTCCCAGTAAACTACCATGGTGTCCATGGTATTGTAAGGTATTACCTGTTGTGTTCATTTTCTAGGGCCTTTGAACAATGCTTACAACTTCTGTCATTTAAATTTGCCATTTTGTATTGCAGATTTCATAAATAAATCTAATATTTGTGTGTATGATATTCCTTTTATAAAGATTTTTTCATAAAACATCTTGTTTCTAGGCGTGTTTGAGCACAGAATTTTCTTCATAAAAGGCCTCAGTCACATTACTCTGATAATCAAGCTTTATATCTGGACATAATTAACACTTCACAGTATAGATTTGAATTCATAATCAGATGATAGCATTATGCACTTGAACCTATAGATAAAGCATTTCCATCACATCTGAACGGTGCTTTATTGGCTACTGTGGAGGCTTTTTGAGTACAGTGAACTCATTGTCATGTTCAACAAACCAGTTTACCATGATTTGAGCTGGGTGCATTTGAGCAGCAGTACAGGTAGGGAAATATTCCCTACCCCATTACAAGAACAGCTTCCTTAAGTGTTAGTAAAATACATAAAGGATCTATACTTTTTTTGTAATTTGCACTGAATTCTGACCCAACAGATTTAATATAGAAGAAAAAGATATTTCCAATTCGTGTCATTCAAATTTAATAAGCCTTTGTAAATTGTTTCCTCTTTTTCCTGGAAGACAGAAGAAGCACTTGGTCTGAAAAAAACTGTTCAAATATAGTTTGGAATGAATTGGTTGTAATGAGGCATTATTAACTCTGTTATTTCACCTCTATCTTGGAACTCCCTTGATAGTTTCTCTCTTGAGACCGCTTTCTATAAACCCAAGAGATGGTTGCATGTGAATATATCAGGAGATCAGCTACTCCTAAACACTGAAACGCAAACCATCAACAGCAAGTTGGTCTTATTTAGATTACCAGAAATGACATAAGACTAACACCTTAAACTATGTGAATAAAAAGCAGTTGCACCAAACAGGAATAGAGCAAATAAGGTTAAAAAGAAGCTTGACTAATCTGTGGGTAATCTTGAGAAAATGTTTACATTGAGCTGAATTTCTATATTGTGTTTATGAATGGAGTTAGAATTTTCTTAAGTAGAAAATCATAAAATAACTTCTTCTAGTCTTTCAAAGTATGTCTGATCTTCTATTAGAAGGTTATTGAATGTTTTATAAATTACAAGGCCACTTAATTTGTTTCTAATGGTTTCTGTAGAATATTGATAGCAGGATAGGAAGTACCTATTTATTCCACTAGAGGGAGGTATTTGTTCAAGGTTTAACTAAAGTCAGCAGTACTTTACAACCCAGTAAAGAGCAGCATGCAACCAAGCCAAATATTTAGGCACCTTTGAACAAACCCCAGCTTCCATATTATTTCCTTCTTTAAATAAGAACAACTTTAGCTTTATTAATGCTCCAAATGGTCTTAAATTGTGCCAAAATCTGACTGCAGCGTCCTTACTCTACATTTTGTTAATAACTGCCTCCATACTGAGGAAGCTCCTCATGTCTCTTAGCATTACTGAGAAAAATGATATCAATAAAGCAGGAGCTGTTAATTTAGGCTTGATTTAAATCTCATAAAATATGTTTGCAGGTTATAATCACGCATCATGGTCACATAAGTTCCTCTTATTTTCTCTTGCATAACAGAACATTGAAAGTCCTGCTTTAAGTTGTTGAAAATAGATTCATTTCTAAGTTTTCTTTGTGGCAGCATAGCCAAATGAGTTTTCTAGATTGAGCAAGATTAAACAGGCAACAAGTCAGAATCCTCTTTCGAACCTTCAGATGCACTTCGGTTAAATCAATTAATTCATTAACTAAGTAGAGGTCACAGCCAATAGCTAAGCTAAGACAAATTAAATCAATTAGTCAGGCTAATAAGATGAGGAAGGCTTTAATTAGTGAAAGTTTAATCAAAGCTGTATGTCAAGATACAGCTCAGTGAAACTTCCACACAAAGTTCGGCTGGGAGTATTGAACTAAACTTTAGGTATAAATAGTTTAATATAACTAGTTTAATATGCTAAAATGTTACATTTATTTAAAAAAAAGAATGTTTGTTGTACATTTGGATATTTATCAGCCTCCGTGGTTAAGTTTTTATCTGTTAAAAAGATCAGTTTGATTCAGAAATTCTTTAAACATAGAGTTAGGAAAGGATAAAGAAAAGAAAAATAAGTATATAATTGAACTAATATCATTTAACTACCATTTCTTTTTCCTTGGCTCTCCCTTTATATGTTAACCTAATTGGGAAAAGAACACAGACCTTTCAAGTACTGTCAACCTTCTGCAGTGC